GACAAATGAGATTACATCAAACTAAAAAGCTTCAGTACAGCAAACGAAACACTCAGTAGAGTGAAGAGACAACCTACCAAATAAGAAAAATTATTTATAAACTATAAATCTAATAAAGCAGTGATATTCAAAATATATAAGGAACTTAAACAACTCAATAGAACAAAACCAAATTACTCAATTAAAAAAATGAGCAAAGGACCTGAATAGATATTTCTCAGAAGAAGACATAAATGGCCAAGAGGTATATGGAAAAATACTCAATATTATTAATCATCAGGGAAATGCAAATTAAAACCACAATGAGATATCACCTCATACTTACTAAAATGGCTACTATCAAAAAGATAAAAGATATCAAGTGCTTATAAGGATGTAGAGAAAGGGGAACCCCTAAACACTTCTGTTGGTAGGAATGTAAATTGATACCACCAATAAAAAAAACAGTGCAGAGATTCCTCAAAAAATTAAAAATATATCTACCATATGATCCAGCAAGTATACCAACTACTGGGTATATATATAGAGTAAACTAAATCAGTATGTTGAAAAGATATCTGCACTCCAATGTTTATTGCAGCATTATTCACAATAGCCAAGATATGGAATCAACTTGTGTCCATTGACAGATGAATGGATAAAGAAATTGTGGTATATATACACAATGAAATACTATTTGACCATAAAAACAAGGAAATCATGTCATTTGCAACAACATGGACAAACCCGAAAGACATTCTGCTACATGAAATAGCCCAAGCACAGAAAGATAAATAAGGTATGATATCCCTTATATAAGGAATCTAAAAACTTTGATCTCATAGAAGTAAAGAGTAGAATGGTGGTTACCAGGGGCTGGGATGGTTGAGGGGAGAGGTTGTTAGGGAGATATTGGTCAAAGGACACAAAATTTCAGTTAGATAGAAGGAATAAACTCAAGAGATCAATTGTACGACATAACGACTAGTTGACAATGTATCACATTCTTGAAAAATGCTAAAAGAATGGATGTAGACTCTTCTCACCACAAAGACAATAACTATGTGAGACATTGCATATGTAATTAGCTACAATTAGTCATTCCATAATGTATATTTACTTCAAAACAATATGTTGTACACAGTCAACACATAAAATCTTAACTGTCAATTGAAAAAAAGAAAATTAATGTGCAAGACAGAGCTGTGATAGACAGTGGGACTAAAAGAGAGGAGGAGGAAAGAGAAGAAAATACATGGGATAATAATTCAGCTTATGAATGTTAACAGATAGAAATATAGAGAAAATGTCCAATAATCTTCCTGGGCACAAAACATATTTAAACCCAAAATTTTTTCTTCAGAATAAATGTTACTCAGGGCCTCGATATATTCTCCTTAAGAAGAAAACAAACTCCATAATCAATTCCTCCAACAAATCTCACTACCAAAATATGATGAGTGTGTTGAAAGTTCTCGAAACTGTCAGCATCTGCTTTGCTTGGGCCCATCTCATCTGATCATTTATTTGACAGAGGAACAGCTACAGCTTTTGCAGTTTTCCTTAAATTGCTGAGATTTTTTTCCCCAATTAAATCACCCAGTTGACAGCAGCAATTCTATTAGGCTACTTTCTTAACTCAGTCAGAAGGCAGAAAGATAACAAACTAAGGCTCGCAACAACATAAATCATGTTAAGAACCATCACTCAGTGGCTCCAAATCCAAATCAAAGCTATGAAATACAGGATGACATTGGATGCTAAAATGAAAAATACCAACCATGTTTCTCTGAGACTCAAACATTAATACTCAGCCACATTTTATATAACAGTCTGCTCAGAGGATTAGTAAAACAGAGGCTGTAAAACCTGAAAATCCTCCTACCCATATTAAGCTAATTGAGTTGGAGACATTCAATTCATCATATTTGCAGCCTGATTTATAAGCAACTCCCCCTGCCCTGGAGCAGAAAATGAAATGTTATGAGCTAGCTATTCTTAAAATTTCAAACCCAGCAACTCTGAACCTGTCAATAATTTAATTGGACAGGGAAAAGAAGAAGAATTCAATTCAAGTGCATTTCTGTGACCCTGATGAAAAAATAAATATCCAGTGCACATTTTATGACTGATATTTCAACGAACAGTCTAGCCACATATTGGAAACCCTCTGTGCCGGAATTCTGTGGGAAATGCATCATCATTTTAGCAAATTGATGGGGTAATTTGAAATCAGTTCTTTGCTAGGTTGCAACTTCCTTCCATTCAGCATAAAGAAAACAATCTTATGACATTTAAAACCCAAATTCAGAAAGGCAAGATATCATTGCTTTTGGCTTGAATAGCTGGTAAAAGCATATGACACTAACTAATAAACATAGAAAATTGCCTTACAAGAATACATCAAAAATAGTGACAGAGATAGGATCAGAAGCAGAAGTTCTGTATTTAAAACACTCTCCTGAAGCAAATGCACCCTCAAGGGGAACCTGTTGATCTTTGCTGCTTAGGGCTGCACTGAAATCAGGCATGGCTCATAGACGCAAATGAATTGAGAGATCTCCTCCTAATTTTTCCTGAAATTTACAAGAGATTCTTCTCAAGAAGGACAATCATTTTTTAACCAGGCAGAAACAATCAGGCAAAGAAATGAGAATCATAGATTCTCATAGATGAAAGGGAGCTTGAAATTCAGTCTATCTAGAAATTCTTAATCTCAATTCTGTGGTCCTCAGGGAATCCTTAAGTGGGTTTCAAGTAATCATACAACTTCTGAAGTTTATACAAAATTTGTGTGGGTATATACATTATTTTTTTCCCCAGAAAAAGGGCTCATAGTTTTCATCAATTTCTTTCTTTTCTTTCTTTCTTTTTTTTTTTTTTTTAGACAGTCTCACTTTGTTGCCCAGGGTAGAGCGAGTGCCCTGGTGTCAGCCTAGTTCATAGCAACCTCAAACTCCTGGGCTCAAGCAATCCTACTGCCTCAGCCTCCCAAGTAGCTGGGACTACAGGTGTGCACCACCATGCCCAGCTAATTTTTTCTCTATATATTAGTTGGCCAATTAATTTCCTTCTATTTTTAGTAGAGACGGGGTCTCGCGCTTGCTTAGGCTAGTTTGGAACTCCTGACCTCGAGCAATCTGCCCGCCTCGGCCTCCCAGAGTGCTAGGATTACAGGTGTGAGCCACCTCCTCTGGCCTCATCAACTCATCAATCAATTTTTTTTTTTTTTTTTTTTTTGGAGACAGAGTCTCACTTTGTTGCCCAGGCTAGAGTGAGTGCCGTGGCGTCAGCCTGGCTCACAGCAACCTCAATCTCCTGGGCTCAAGCGATCCTACTGCCTCAGCCTCCCGAGTAGCTGGGACTACAGGCATGCGCCACCATGCTCGGCTAATTTTTTGTATATATATTTTTAGTTGGTCAATTATTTTTTTTCTATTTTTGGTAGACATGGGGTCTCTCTCAGGTTGATTTCAAACTCCTGACCTTGAGCAATCAGCCCGCCTCAGCCTCCCAGAGTGCTAGGATTACAGGTGTGAGCCACCGTGCCTGGCCTCATCAATTTCTTAAAGGGTCTCATGACTTCAAGATGGTTACAAACACTGTTCAGCATCCCATCTCATATCTACAATGTCTCATTGAGGATTTTTTACCTTCTGTTTGAATGTCTCCAGTGGCAGGAAGCTCACTACCTTATGAGGCAGCTCATTCTATCTTTGCATAGTTCTATTTAATTTTTTTTTAAACTTGTATGGACTGTGTTTTTCTCCTCATTGTTTATACTTAAGTTCTTTTTTTATTATCTCAGAATATTATGGGGGTACAAATGCTTTGGTTACATATATTGCCTTTGCACAACCTGAGTCAGAGCTACAGGAGCATGCCCATCCCCCAGACAGTATGCACCTCACCCATTAGGTGTGAATTTATCCATCCCCTCCTCCTCCCACGACCTGCCTAACACCCGATGAATGTTTCTTTCATATGTAATCTGCACTAAAGTTCTTGGTGTCTACAAAAATTGTATAGAACAGTTCCTTGTTTAAAACAATTTGAAGACAAGAGCTACCATGTCCCTGTGAGCTGAGTATATTCTCCAAGGACATCACTCATGCTTTGATGTTCCCATTTGACATGGTTTTAATCCCATTACCAGCCTATTTGCTCCTCTCTAGAAGAACTTCAATTTGCTTCCATTCTCCCTGAAATATGCTTCTCAGATCCTAATGCTACACTCTAGGGTAGTGCAAAATTGTCATCTTTTTGTTGTTGATACGGCAATTCCGTTAATGTAGCCTAAAATCACATTGATTTTTTTGAGAATGTCACACTGACAACTCCTTGAACTGACTATGCTGAACACCACCCAACCTCAGCTGCTTTTTCTTTTCATGTGTTGTTCTGATCTTCCCCATTGACCAGTCTAAAAAGTGGAAATGAGAAAAAGAATGGAAGGGAAAATGGAGGCTAGAGAGATAGGAAGTAGAGGTGGAGGTAGCCATAGGGATCTAGGTATGGGTGAAAGGGTGCTTTAAGCATAGGTAGTAGAATTCAAGCTGACAAACAACAACCTCCTTAATATTAAAAACTGTCCTAAATGTATTTATTATTATCCTCAGCACACAAACCTGAAAACTAGGTTCAGGGGAGTTCAGTAACTTCCCAAACGGCGCACTTCTGATACCAAGTCTAGTTCTTAACCCCTACACTGCTCTGGTAAAGTATCCCATCAGGAAAATGATAGCATTGCCTCTGTGTAGATTAGTCTTTGAGATATGAATCCTTTACATTTTCTTTTAACAGAATGATCTCATCAGTCTCACCAGTACTTGCATAATTACACAAATGGACATCAGAGTTAAATAATGATGAAGCAGATGCTATTCTTACTGAATCAAACTGATGCACACAATTTAGTTGGAGAGATTTGGGATGAGGGAGATGTTTGTCTAGTGTCAACAACCTGAATCTGCCTCTTTAATAAAGCTGAAAATTAGCATAAACAAATAAAACATCAGTGATGACAATTTTCAGCAACATCCCCTAGAAATTGGAATAAGTAAACCTCTGTGACCTGCTGAGTAGAGCACATCTGCTCTCTACTGTTTTTTTGAAACAGAGAAATAAACTCAGGTCTGGGAATCTAAGACCCAGTTTCCAATCTGTGTGGCTGCTCTGGGAAGTCTTATAACCACTCTGATTCTCAGTTTCTTCATGTATAAAATAAAGTGGTTAGAATATAGTATTTCAAATGCCCCTGCTGAGTTCTAAGTTCTGTGATTCTATAAGAGTTGCCATTGGAAACCAGGTCATCTGACTTTTTAAGGAATTTATTGCTGAACTTAAAAGCCCCATGCTTAGGACCATGCAACACATGACCTAAATGATAGCAAGGTATCATGTTGTTTGAAAAGGGACTCCCTTTACAAATTTATATAAATATATCGAAGGGGTAGTGGCAGCTCTGCTTTAATTGTTCATAACAAAGGAAAAAAAAAACCCTATTTTTAGAAATGCTGTTTTTAAATGTTTTATGTTGCTTGCTTATAATTAAAAGCTGGTAACATAAATGCCTTATAGTTCACTGAGCAAACAAGTCATCACTAAAAACAATCTTAAATTAAATTCTTTCACATATGATAGGAGGTAAAACCAGAAAATCTCTAGAGCATCAGTCCTGACATTCAATTACTATAATTTCAAGCTGATTTTTACAAGTCACCCATTACTTCTATATGTGCCCTGTTGCTTAATGGCTCTTTAACATGTGTATGTTGGGGTCAGGGGGTGGGGTGTGTTATTCTCCATTGTGTAAAAGGACTTCAATAAGTGCCCCTTGAATGCATTTTAAATTAACTTACCTGTGACCCCAAATTGGCCACAAGCTTTATAACACACTCAATCTTCTGCTAATTCAAAAGGAACAAATCAGCTGCCTTTAGAGTGATTCTGGTGAGTCAGCTGGCCTGGGGGAATACATCCTGGTTCCTTCCTTGGAGTTAAGTCTGATTGTTACAAACTGGCAATTCCTCTGTGAGTTGGAGAAAATCAGCTCAACATTCTCTACCATGTTTTCTTATACAACATTCTCTCTTAAATAACTTTTATGAGGTTTCTTTTGTATATACCTATAGAGGAATTTAAAACTTGCCTTCTGGAACATATTTTGTACTTATTAAATAAGGATGAATAATCCCTTTGTTGTATAACTTCTGCTCATTAAACGATTATTGTACACCTTTATTTCCCTAATAGATTTTAAGTTCTTCATACAGAGAGGGGTTATCTCTTACTTTTTTTATTATCTCTCTTGGTGTTTAGCATAATTCTGGTAACACACGTGGCAATCGTTCAATAAATATTGCAGCATCATGGAGTTCAAGACAGTGGTTCTCCAAAGTTAGCGTATAACATAGTCACCTGCAGAGGCAATACAAAATACAGAGCCCCTGGCTTGGTGAAGTAGAATGGGGCTGGGCCTCTGTGTGATTCTGATACACACCAAAGTTTTAGAACCAATGGTTTAAACAGCTTAATTGGTAGTAATGGCAGCCACAACAGATACTGCAAAGAGAAAATACTAGTAGTTAATACTATAAATAATTCAAAGTCAGGCTCAACCATTTTTGACCAATGTGTTTTGGAAGGAATCATTTGACTTCTTTGGGCCTAATGTTTTCTTCCCAGCCCTGTCTCGTCTCCATCATTTGCAATATGGAGAAGTTGGACTAGATCCATGGCTTCTTATCTTTCTTGACCTTGATCACAACAACAAATACATTTTACGTTGTGAGCCCATACATACCCACACACCCACACTAAACTGAAACAAAGGTTCCTACTTATGAGGCACTGTATTTTCTATTCTATTCTTTTGTTTTATTATAAAATTAGCAATTGCATTTATTTTACATCTACTAGTGGGTCAGTTGCAGCTTGAAAAGCCTGGATTTAATGATTTCTGTTATGCTCATCTATCTTAAAATTGTATGATTTTCATTTGCTAGTGAATAATATAACTGTGACTAAGAGTAAGAAGTCTGACATCAGACTACCTGCACTCATATTCTAGCTATACCAAGCACTAAGTGCGTGACCTTAGAAAAGCTTTTCTAACTTTATTATACCCATTTTCCTCATCCAGAAAGTGGGAATAATAAGAAAACCTATCTCATAGGGCTATTGAATAGAATACCCCAATGATATAAAGTATTTAGAATAGTTTCCAGAATATACTAGGAATTCAGTAAATACTACATTTTTATTATTATTATTAATTCCTCCTAAACAGCCTGTAGACAGAAAGCTTGATGAGCAAATATCAATACAGAGAAAGAAAAACTCGTGAAATTAAATTTTAGACCTTAGCAGCTACCTCATACCCCTGCCCCCTAGGAACTTAGTAGTTTTGTTGAACAAATATACTTTTGTTGTTGTTGTTGTTGTTGAGACAGAGTCTCACTCTTGTTGCCCTGCCTAGAGTGTCATGGTGTCAGCCTCGCGCTCACAGCAACCTCAAACTCCTGGGCTCAAGCGATCTTCCTGCCTCAGCCTCTCGAGTAGCTGGGACTAGAGGCATGTGCCACCATGCCTGGCTAATTTTTTCTATACATTTCTTAAGTTTTCCACTTAATTTCTTTCTATTTTTAGTACAGATAGGATCTCACTCTTGCTCAGGCTGGTCTCGAACTCCTGAGCTCAAACGATCCTCCAGCCTCAGCCTCCCAGAGTGCTAGGATTGCAGGCGTGAGCCACCACACCCGGCCACAAATATACTTGTTGATACAATCAAAATCACCTTGTCAAAAAACAAAAAACAAAAAAATCACCTTGTAAAAGAGAAGGTTAACATATGCCTGATTTCAACAACAAAATTATACTGTATGTAATGGTGCTAGAGTGATCCCTTAGGGTTTTTAGAAATAGGATTGTTTCTATATTCAGAATTGGTTTATAAATACAGTTCTAGACATAGAATAAAAACTGGTTCCATTTTCATGGGCCAATGATAATATTCTCTAAACTTTTAGTATGGTTAATATGTGACTTTAATATTTGTTAAATATCTCTATTTTTTACCAAATATTACTAGATATCATTGTTACTATGAAGTAATGCTTTATAATTTTTAAAGTAATAATTTTTAAATGATCTTACCAGGAATTACATACCTAAATTAATGTTTCCCTTCAAGTGGTCATCTTGAAAGATTATACATATGTTCTAACATCTATAACTAGCCAAAGAGGAAAGTCCTCTTCATACTTTAGTAAATTCTTGTTTGGATTACTCAAAATCTGGCTCATGCCCCTAACTCATTTGCTACACTTTATTTGAACTAGCCAAAGTGACATTCACTTTCATAAGAGAGATAACAATTTTGCTAATATACTTTTGCTTAGCTGAGATGGGAATATTCTGTAATTAAAATCATTCTCTCAATGACAATAAGGATAGAATTTGATAAAAATAGCCAATTCTGATGAGAGCTCAGAGTTCATTAATCTTAAATTTATATTTGCTCCATACACACATACTTTCTATTTTTTAATGAAAATAATTGCTATTTATTTATCATCTACTAGGTGTCAAGTGTTATTCTAAAGACTTTCCACATATTATATATCAAATAATCCTTACAGCAACCCTATAAATTCCATACTGTTATTTCTAAGAGGGGAGAAGTTAACAGACTTACTAATAGACACAGCTAGAAAGTACAGAACCACAGTGAAAAGACAAGTGAGTCTGATACTAAAGCCCATATGCTTTTCACTATATGCTATTACACTTCTGCATTAGCTGGGAAAGAGTTAACAATTCTACATCACAATGAATGTCAGCACTTATTTACTAATCTACTGTGTAAAATTTGGAATAACTTCTATATAACTTTGCTAAGAAAAAATAACTGAAAATATGCTCACCAAAAGGTTATGATTCCAGATTTTTTTTTAAATAGGAGAAGGATGCAGGAGTTATATATCATTTTAGGGCACCAATAACAATAGTATCATTAACAACAGTAATAATATGTGCCTTTTATTGATAGACAATCTCTGTGAGCTTTACTACATTATTTCTAATTGTTACAGAAAATCTTGGCAGTAGTGAGATCTTAGTCTTAAAAGAACTTCTGTTCATATTTGAGTTAACTCTTTAGAAATATCTACAGCCATAAATAACCATTTATGACACATTTATAATGTTTATAAATACTTGTTTTTAAAACTTCTTATGACTTTAACATACATAAAAACCTAATATTTCTTAGAAAAATTTCATTACTATTAGTTATTATTACTATATAGGTCAAAAAAGTAGGAAATTTGAATTCCATTCCACACACTCATCTTTCAAAAGCCATGATGGGAACTCATTAACCCTTTATGGATTTAGTTCTAGAGAGAGTTCTTAAATTGTGAGATGTTGCTATGGTTACTATGCTTAACATCCTCTTGGTCCCTCTTTCCAATATCTGGTCTAAATAGCCAGAATTATTTGGGTTATAGTGTTGGTAGCCTTCTAATTAAAGATAATTGCAGCAAGAAATGTTTTATTTGCCTAGAATTTTGATCAGGAGCTTTTGTGCCTCAATTCAGTATGCTTCTGTCAATGCCATATTTCACTCAACCATTTCCTCTCACCACGATGAGGCCTGAAACAAATGCATTATTCACAAGTATGCAAATCTCTGCCAAATCCCTCTTATGTTTTTATTAACTAAAAGCTTCTCAATTTAGGTCTCACAAATCTGTTTCTTTCCCAAGACTAAGGCTTTCAAGATTATCAGCTCAGCTACTTCCACCATCTAGTGGCAAGAAATAGAAATGAACAGATTTTACATTTCTGAAGATTACTAATATTCTAAAATAGCAAGAATCAGCACAGTTTTCTAATTACTGGCACTACCAAAAACACTATGTCGAGAAAGGAAAATATAAACATTTTTTTTCAGTTTATGATCAGGACCTCATGACTATTGGGGTCAAACGTAGTTCATAAGCTATTTCTTTTTAAAAAAAACACTGATCAAGTAACAAGTATTTAAAAAGCATGTACCATTTGTTCAGCACAATCTTAGGCATTTTGGAGGAGCTACACATTTTTGTGTGCATGAGATATATTACGCTTTATTAGAATTGTATAGCTCAGTCAAGAAAATAGAAACATTAAACTACTAAGGGCTAAATGTGATAAATTTTTCACTGCTTCACAGTCTTGATCAGATCTCTCTAAATTCTCAGATCTTTATTTCAAACTTCCCCTTGAACACTTCTGAGTATAACATAAATAACCCAAACTTATTCAAAGCTAAGTCAGAATCTCTCCCCACCATCACCCCCATCACTGCCATTCTAAAACCGCCCTACCTCTGGCATTCATGATTTCGTTTTATGATATATCCTCCACCGAATGGGCAAATAAAAAATTTGTAAATTAACCTTTCTTTCTCTCTTCTCTACCTTCCATATTTAATAGGTCTCAAAGTCCTGGTGATATCACTTCCTAAATAAGCTCTCTAGTCTCCCTCTCCCTTCATCCCCAATGTCTCTGCTTTATGTAACAGAGCTTGTTATCTCTGGTATTTTACCTGATGCCTTTGATTCTGATATCGCCCTTTCCCAGTTTTTCTTCCACTCTACCACATGACATGAATAATAGTCTAATTTGCAAATTGGGTCATGTCATTCTCCTTTTTAAATTTTGTAGTCACCCCTCATTACCTACAAGGTGAAGTCCAATCTCCACATAAAGTCCTTCATTACCTTTTCCCACCCATCTCCTTTGTTTTGCTGCATGTTTTGTGCCCACCTCATTCCCCTTTCCTTAAGCCTTATATTCTATCCCAGTGCTCTACTCAACTACTTGCAATTCCCAGAGCTTTTCCATATTGTTACACAACTGCTAGAGTCTGAGGCAACCTTGACCTTTTCCTCTTACCTCCTACTTCCTTCAAGTAAAACCAAAAATGATCTCCTTTATACTATTTTCTCTGACCACATCTCTAGCCTCAGAGAAAATTAAAGTTTCTCTAGGTCTTGAAAGAACTTATCTTTTCTTTGCTACTTTCTTTTTTGCATACCATATGATATATATTGTATGTATATATCTCCAAACTTGTAAATCTAACTATAACATATAAGCAACTTGAAGACATGCTCCTCTTTGTATCTTTAGGGAATAACAGAGCCCAGCATACAGTAGGAGGTAAAATGCATTTTGCAGAACAAATATTATAAATGAATTAATGAATGAATCAATTAGTTAACACATATAAGAGATTTTAATATTAAATTTAACTGTGTCTCAGAAATGCTAGATGATTATTCTAAGGTTATCCAGGCAGAAACTGTAGAGTCAGGATTCAAACGTATATTTGTTTGGCTCCCAAATCCATGTTATTTTATAGTAACCACACTACTTTTTGCCTAGAACCAATGAAAATCTGGAGTGGGATGGTAGCTGTGGACATGAAGAAGAAGGTGAGAACACCAAGACATTTAAAAGCAAAGATAGATGAGATTAAGGTGAAAAAAATATTCCCGAAGTAATTCCAAATTTTCCAGTTTAGAATATTAGAATAATACGGATATATACTATACCTAATAACAAAACATCAATAGCAATAAAGATAGCTATTGTTTTTTTTATATATATATATTTCTTATGTGGCGAGCTCCAACCTAAGAGCTTATATAAATTATTCTCACTTAAACTTTATAAAAGCATATAAGTAGAAGCCATTATTTTTAAAATAAATAAACTGAGGCCTACAGAAGTTAAATAACTTGAGCAAGTTCACACAGCTAGCAAGTGGAGGACTTGGTATTTGAATCTGGTTGAGTCTGATTCCGGGACCAGAATGAACCTTTATGATGTACTTTTCTTTGCCACAGTTCATGTGTGTCACAGTATTTCCCAATGTGTATGTGCTCAGCAAAAACATAATTTTTTTCAGAAGAAAGTTTTCCATGATCAAATATGTTTGTGAAATACTTTTGTACTAACCATATTCCCATCTTAGATATTTATATTACATATTATCATATTAAAGGTTCTGAGAAATCCTTCAATAAGTCAATGGATTTAACTCCCCAAATGTGCTTAAACATTCATCCTCTTATCTTCCTTATAATTTTGACAAAAATCCTACCAAATATACTTTGGGAAATGCTAGTCTAATTATGTTGTAGATTCTAAGACATAAGGGAGTCAAAACAAAACCAAACAAAACAAAAGTAAGATGTGGTCCAGTTCATGGGAGCTTACACATTTATTAAGAGCAATAAAAATAGCTTCCTGATTTGTGGTTTTGCTTTCCATGGTTTCAGTTACCTGAAGTCAACCACAGTCTCAAAATAGGTGCATACTGTACAATATATTTTGAGAGAGAGCACATTCACATAACTTTTAAGTATAGTATATTGTTATAATCATTATATTTTATTATTAGTTATTGTTGTTGATTTCTTATTGTGCCTAATTTATAAGTTAAACTTTATCACATATATGTATAGGAAAAAATGTTGCATATATAGGGTTTGGTACTTCCACTGTTTCAGGCATCCACTGGGGAATCTTGGAACATATTCCCCACAGATAAGGGGGGGGGCTAATGTATAGTTCAAAAAAATTATTTAGAACAATAGAGTAGGCATATTTAAAAATGCTAACTATATGGGATACACATACTCCATGTGACATAAAATGTTATGACCAGCTGGAGTTGAGCCAGAGTTAGTAGGAAAGGCTTCATGTAGGAAGAGGGTTTATTGTACTAGTACTATTGACTAAAACATACTTTCCTATGATCAGGCTCCAGCAATTCTAGTAGGAAAATAGTGGAACAAAATACACATTGTTATCCTTCTTCCTGAAGTTCTATATATCAGTTTCCTCAAGCTTGAGCCCTCCTCTATAATCTCCCAAGCTTGAACTGCCTACAGATTCTCCATGGTTTTCCCATATATACTCAACAAATGCCCAGTTGCCCACTTGGGTATAGAAGTCTACCCCAACCTCACATATTCCCACTTTCCAATAAAGCTTCCAAAACTATTTATCCTCTTCTCAGTGAAAATTAGCAAGACAATCATATTTATCTAATTAAAGCAATTACCAATTTATGAAAGGTAGCTTTAATCTTCCTTGTAAACAGTCATCGAATCTAAGAATCCAAGATAGTTTTGAATGAAAGATACACCATTTTTATGTACCGTAGGAAATGCTGCCAATTTTAATTGCAAGATGCCATAGATTTTAGGACACATTTAGATTTCAGACATGTTAATATGTGATAAAATATGATGTTTAAATTGATGAAATTATGTATCAATTATGATTTGGTAAAGGATAAAAGAACAACAACAGTAAACTCTCTCTTTCCCTCTCTCTCTCTTTCTTCCTTTCTCTCCTCTCTCTCTCCTTCTAACAAATACTCTGCACAGGGTACTCTGCTGAGTGCCTGGAGTCCCACAGTATTTAAGCTTGAGGAATCTGAATTCCAATTGCAGAGTAAGAATAAGTACCACATAATTATAACTCAGGTCCCCCACAAGGGTAATATAGATTTAAAATAATGTTTTACTGCTCCTTCATCACTTAATGTATATTATAGGCAATCAACTAATATTTATTGAACTGACCTAAACTTAATAGACATAAACTGAAAAGCTCTAAACTGAAAAGAAAATTCTTATGCTTTTTTATAGGCCAATTTCTTTTGTAGAAGATTCTAAGTAGCATCTCAAGAGAATGCATACCTATCTTAAGGGAAAGAAAACAAATTCCCTTGAATTCACCACTAAATTGCATTTCTCCTTCCAACCCCATACTTCACACTGGCCACCGCACTCTAATGAAAACAGCCTAAGCAAACCCATCTATCACTCAGGCATCTGGTGTGCACCAAAGACAGATGAATTTTAGAACTGAGGCTTTAAGTGATATACGATGATGAAAAAAATGATACTTAGACCTGTGACAATGAGATTACTCAGATAATGATTCAGTGCTCTCCCAATGTGACATTTAAACTATTACCCAGCAATCTCACATTCTGTTTAGGCATGCCATATGTAAATTTCTAATTAATACTAGAGAGCCATATTTTCGTCTCAGTAGGATTCTGGGGGCATTAGATGATTGTTTGGCCTCCTCTTCTCCCTTATAGTGCTTGACCCAAAAACAGTAGACAAATCAAAGAAGGCAAAGATTTGAAAATATGGCAGGTCTAATTGAGAATTTATACCTTATTAGCATTTCTCTGACTCTGATAGACTTCCTTTATGAGAAAATAACACATTCGATTGTAATCATGGCAGGTTATCCAAATACTTGAACTGTAATAATGTAACAACCCCTTAACAACTTGATTAGGAAATGTGTCCTGTTGCTATAAAAATACGTGGATTTGAACCTGACATTGCAGTGGTGGGCTAGAGCTATCTCATACTAACTCATGAGAGCCTCATGTCCCCCCTTTCCAAATACATTCAGTAGCTTTAGGTTGGTAGCCTGAAATCGGTCATGATCATCACAAAATTGGCAAACCTTACAAGACAAGGATTTTCTTTTTCTTTGCTAGAAAAATTGTACATATTTATCCTTATCGCTATTGGTGATAGAAGAAAGGTACACTGAGGCTCTTCACTAAGACAGTCTAAAAGCAGATCTTATTTAGTAAACAACACCTCTAGAAGGTCATGATGAAAAGCTCTTGGCCCCAGTAGCTATGTCACAGCCTGGGTACAGAAGTCCTGGATGAACTTACCTGTCCTTCCTCTTTACATTAGCTTGGGGGCCACTCAACTGGTGGTTCTAAAAAGGAGAAAAACCTACTCCAACCTTAATGTTTCATATCAGGGGCTTATTATTCATAGATGGCTACTTCAGAAACTGATGAAAGGTGTCTTCAATAGAAGACTATGAAATAACTTAGAAAGGAGATACATATAATAGGAAACCTAGGCTAAGAAAATCCACTGAAGTTGAAGACACTTAATTCTGAAATTCCTGGAAGGCAAATTATAAAGAAAAAATAGAAAAAAAATTCTTTATATATGTGTGATCTGATCTTCAGAAAAAGCAAACTTTTTTCCCTCACTTAATAGACATTTTCCAAATGAGGCATTGAATAGCATAGCAAATGACGGTGCAATCACCCAAACTATAGATGTTCAGATAATTATATTATCATGTATATGCTGGATACTTTAATATACTAAATGAAGATCCCATAGTGCTTTCATTATTTTGTTCATATTTTTACTGTAACTAGGCTAGTATCCTAATAATTACAATAGCACTAATTATAAAATTTGGACTCTCCCCATTCTACTTTGAATCCCCCAAGGAATTTAAATAATATCAAGCATAATCCTACCAACATGACAAAAACTGGCACCAATTTAAATTATATCTCAGGTATTATCATTAATTGACCTAAACATACTAATAATCACCATACTATAAATTCTAGTAGGATGACACAAAATACTAACCTTGATTATCCTACTCAGCCAAAGCCCTTTGGGAGCTGTACTCTAGAGTTGATTAAAGAGAAAGAGTTGGAAAGGGAAAAAGACAAGTTGGGGAAAAGAAAAGGAAGAAAAGCTCCATGGAGGTTCTTATAAGTTTTATATCCAATTAAAAAGAATGAAACTGATAGTTAAGTACTCCCAATGCAGTCCAGTCTCTCAATCCTACCCTTTCTCAATTAATAGTGGTCTACACAGAGAGTAGGGGGTCAGCACTTTCTTGCAAAGATAAAAGGTCCCTATAGAAGGAAGGTATTCATCTGAACAAAGAATTGAATCATTGATTATTAGAATTAGATAGGACCTTGGAGACAATTTTGTTCACTCTCCTGCTGAAGGAGTCCTTTCTACACAACCACTGCCAGGTCATACGTGCCTGGAAGATTTCAGGAACAGAAAACTCCTGCCTCATGAAGTAGTCTACATTTTTGGTAGGTAGCTTTAACTGTCGGGAACTGTGGTCTTACAATGATCCCAAATACAAATTCCTGTCAGTTCACAATGGGTCTACTTCTGCCTTCTGTAAGACACCAATGTCATGTTTTCCATGTGACAGTTCTTGAGGTACAAAAGTAAGTCTCCTGTCCCTGGATTCTTATTCTTTTCTTCTCCGGGTTAAACATACCCATTTTCATCTGTTATCCAGTGGTTCTCAGAGAAATCTAGAAAGATGTACAATGCATCCCAGAGACATAATATTCATATATTTTACACATTACATAATATTTATTGGAATTTGACAATTGGCCTGGTATTTTTATTTATTGGTGATAGTTACAGCTAGTTTATTTGATAATTCATTTTTAGAATACCAGAGTACTTAAAATGTGGTAAAAATTGTAAATATAATAAACATAATTTAACCTTTATTTGATGTTTTGGAAGGTATAATAAGAACTCAGAGAGCATTGGAGCCACTGTTATGGCTATACTTTTTATTGTGCCTTAGCTATATGGATGTGCTAATGAAATTAATATTCTAGATAATAAAATAAAAAAATTTTCTTTAGCAGTAACTAAGGCAGGTTTATTTTTTCATTTCAATTCTTTTCTATTACAACACAGATTCTATTTTTCTTGTTAAACTTTAATCAACATTTATAAGCTTTTTATCCAAAGCACAAAATCCAGAAGCACCAGCCCATCAAAGAAAAAGGCAGAGTAATTTGCAACCAAGGAGCCCAGAAAATCATTTAGTTGTCCTTTCTTGTCAAAATACCATTTATAAAGAAATTGTTTAAAATTGAATAAAAATAGTAAAGAAGTGTTGGGAAACGTATGACATCAAATAGAAAGAAATCTCGTAAGCAATTTTCCCTGGATAAAACAAAGGTCTTCATGAGCCAACTCACACATTTTCCGTTTCAGTTTAAAGAGTAAGGCAATCACTAGATGTGATCCTGTTATATTTGCTTCCTTTCTTTATCTGGGATCAGATTAAACAGAGATAGAAAACATTTAAGAAAACCTTGATCTAATCTGTTTTTAAAAAAAATATGTCGTTTGCTTATTTTACCTTTCAATTGTTCACCCTTGGCTCTTTCCTTATCCCATTCTCATCAACTAAAAGGGTTTTCCAGACATTCAAACAATTGCAATAAAAATACGTTCCAGAAATACCAGGTTAGCTTCCAAACCACATAAAGAACCTTTGGCAACCAGGGGCCATTACTGTGTTTTAAAAGAGGCTCATTTAATCAGACCAGCAAACATCTCCCTTCACAATGAAGACCAACCACTGTTGTCAGTTATATACTAATTTCAAAAAATTAAAAAACAAATAAATGTAGAGCAATTGAACTGACCTTCAGAGGAGAAATGTGGGACTGTAAGACGTATCCATGGACATTTTCTATTTGAGACAGGTTCTTTTCTGATACATGCACGAGTTCTGGGCCTCTTACTTCATGGGTTAGTCGAGGTAAGGAATGATCATGTGGAGCGTCCTCATCTTGATATCGATACTTCTAGGAGAAAAGAAAAGAAAGAAAAAATATATGTTTATATATCATGTTTGCAAAGGGTACAGTCTGTAGTTCATATTCTAACTCCAGCAATAGTATAAAATGTGTGCTTATTTTGACTTCACTAAACAGACTTTGCCTCAGATTCTTATAGTGATCACCATAAACCAGGTCAAGTGAAAGCAAAATTGAATTAACCATCAATATCAATCATGTTGATGACTTATTTTTGTCTGATAATATCCTTTCTCTGTTTATGAGCCACAGAAGGGTGATAACAAATGGACTGAGAAAATTTATACACGTAGGTGATAAGGTATGTGATTTAGCTTCTGACCAGAGCAGCTAAAAATTCTAGGTCACAGATGGAGAAGAAAGGAGTGCTGAGCAAGAAAACAATTCTGGTATAGCCCATTCAGGAAACTTAATTTTATTAACATTTCAGAATTTGTGAAAGATTTAAGTTCCCTTGAAATGAGGAAGAAATGTTGCCACCCACGCTATTTGTATTAGCCTTGAAGGGAAGACAATGTTCTCTTCCTTCACTTTAGCCTCTAGGAGGAGGAGTGTTGATTTCGGTTAGTCAGATTCCAGGATGAAAGATCACAATTTCTTGAAGTAGAGCTGGCTTTAAAAGGACTCCAAAAATCAAGGCAAAGTTTCTACTTATATTCAGATGACTCCTTGAGGGGAAAAGGTAAGATTTTCTTCTCCCTTGGTCCCTTTTCCTCTTTTTTTTTTTTTCTTTAAACATCTTCTTTCTACATGCCTATAACAGAAACAGAATCCTCGGCAAAGGCCATTGTTTGAGGCTTCCAGGCAGATCTAAGGAAGTTGGCAGGGAAAAAACAAAGGGTCAGGAGAAGAAATGGTCTGAGGGAGCTCCTCCCTGGTTTGGGGGCCAATCTCCATCTTCAGCCTTGACCTAGATCCCCATCATTTTTCTTTGTCTTTCTAGGCTTTGTACCCCTTTTCCTTTGGAGCTGTCCCACCAGAGTCCCATTGTTTCAAGGCTGTTGACCTATCTGGGAAAGAAAAAAGGGAACCTCTATATCTGACCCCCATTCTAGCTAATGAAGTGTTAGTTTCCTTTGCTTTGCCTTTGTTCCTTGTGGCTGGCACAGGGGTATTAGAAGCAGGGATCCAAACATTGTCCTAACACCATCTCATGCTTAATTATGATATCTAACCTCTTCCCAGTGCTCCATTATTGTTATCATCAAGAATTATTTTATCACATCAGGTTACTAAAAACATATCTTCTTATAAAACCATGCCTATGTTTGTCATGCATTTTTCAGATAAGAAGTATAATTTCTTGGACATTGGCTCTCAGACTGACTCATAATCTAACAGTAACAGAAACCACTCCCATGGTTGGTAATTCAATCTGTTGTCCACTCTTACTCAGAAGATGATTACCACCAGTACTTCTATTTCAAGGGAGGCTTTCTGCAATGTCTCAGGTAATATTAGTCTTAAAATAAAAATTACAACTAATAATGTCTAAATTACAGTTTGGAAAGGATTCTCACATACCTCTTCCATTGTAATCATTCTTAGCTATGATGTTTCTTTTTACCTATTAGAAAACTAAGACTCAGAGAAGTTAAGGTACTTTCCCAGGGTCACCCAACTAATGGGCATCAGAGCTGGGACCCTGTCCAGATCATTTGAATCTAAATCCTCTTTCTACTATAATCAGTCTTTTCTCCCCCTCCATAAAGGAGATAAAGCCCATGCCTGATAACTGAATTGGCAGTTTTGTAGGAAAAAAAATCACTGAGAATATGCAACACAATAAGGTTAGAACATTTTGTAAACTGCAAATACCATGCTTCTGTTTTTCTAACCCTGTGAATAATTTGGGAAAGTAATTTGCCTCAGAAACATGGGTCAAGCTTAACATTTATTCTTGACCAATATGTGTTCATCAGGAGTGGAAAAATATCATACGTATGTCTATTTTGGTTTCTCTGGCTTGCAGATGATCTGTCCCTATGTCTGCTCCCCATTTTCAATTCTCTCTCAGGGAGCACTACCATCTATGCTGTCATCTGAGCCAGAAAAGCAGGAGTCAATTAAGCTCCATCCTCTCTTTCGCCTCCTACCATCTACCAATGTAATCAATTACTCAGTCAACCTGATTTACAGCCTGAATAATTCTTGAGTTTACTCCCTCCTTATTTTTCCTATCCCACCACCAAATGCCACCAACTGCCACCAACACTGTCCACATCAGGTTTCTATCAGCTCTCAGCTGGGCCACAGCAACAGCCTCTGAACTGGCTAGATGGCCTCTGGGACTGCCCCCTTCCCATTTGTTCTCTATAGTATTCCAGGGGGCTTTCGGAATCACATGCTGATAAAGTTCTTTAAATCCTCCAATGGCTCCCATTGCCTACAGGTCAGAGTTCAAGCTTCCTTACCCTGCCATAAGCTGTCCTCCCTATATTACTACATGAGCTGAACCCCCATTACTTCTGAATTATTTTTTCTCACCACTCCCACCTCAGTAATCATGGAATAAATATAAACAAATGATTACTTCCAGTATTTAAGCCTATCTTAAAATTTGTGGTAAAATATAGATAAAATAAAATTTTACAACCTTAACCATGTTTAAGTTCAGTAATGTTAATTATATTCACTTTGTTGTGAAATAGATCTCTGGATCTTCTTCATGTTGTGGGTGTTCCCACAGCTCCTTATACTCCCCCAATCATGACTCTTATTATGCTATACGATTGTGTGTTTTTCAGTGTTTTTCCATTGAACTATAAAATTTTGTGAGGATTGGGACCACATTGGTATTGCTCATCCTCATATATCCAGTCATTAGCCAAGTACCTAGCTCAATAAGTGTTTGTTGAATGTATTTAAGAAAAGTTATTGAACAAATGGATGAAATGAGAATCAGTTGCTTAAACCACAAAAATATTTTGGCTACTGGATGCAATCTCTTTTATTGTAAAACACTATGACCCCAGGTTCAAGTAAAAAAAAAAAAAAGGACAACCACATCATTTGCTTGACACAATCTTAAAGGACATCAGTCTCTTAAGTATTATATCTCTTTTCCCTCATCATTCATTCTGTAGTATATGCTGTAGTTAATGCTATTTGTGCCTGATCCATCAACAAAGGTTCTGTGGCACAGTTTGGAAGATGGTGCTGTGCTGTCACAATGTACTATAACTGATCCAGAAACTGGAAATCTTTCAAGGCCTCTTAAATAAAAAACTGAATTTATCTCTGTTGCTGCATAAAAAGTCCTCTACTTCCCCCTTGCAGCAGGAGTTGGCACTGTACTGATGAGACAGAACACACCAAAGGCTGAGGAAAGCCAGAATGTGTTTATGCGTTCACGAATAGTCTGTAATATTATCATACCTAATAGTGAATTCTATCCATGGACATTTTGCTAAGAATGTCACAGAAATTATCCTACTTAAGACTTACAGCAACATTGTGAAAAGGAGACAAAATTAAGCAATGATTACAGTTTCTCATACAAAGGATGACATTAAAGAAACACTAAAACTTGTTAGTTACACTGCTTCTGTTTAGTATATTGACAAGTAACATTCTCTGCATTAAGTCTTATCTCCCCGTCTGTAATTTAAGTTCTCTGAAGGTAGGAACCCCGACAATATCTTTGTCTCCTGCAAAGTGGTCACACCAGGATTCTACACAGTGTGTGTGTCTAACAGGCCTAGGTTGACCGATTGAGTGCTGCCATTTGAAGAAAGCCTCTTAGTTTTAAAAATGGACTTTGGCTGAAAGAAAGCACATATTCTAAGAGAAGCATGAAGTAAGGAAGACAAATAAGTAACAGACTTGCAAATGGAGTGATGATCCCTAAGAAAGAGGTGAATGCAGTTCAGAAAATAGCAAAAACCAAGGTGGTAAAGAAAGCAACCTCAAAAAATGAACTATATAGAAATGAAGGGTTTTCACTTCAGCTCCAGACTGTAGAAGTTCATGTTCTACAACTGAGTATTCTCCTCTAGGCCCTGTCAGCCACCTTCTTATTTTGAGGAAAATATTTCATTTTTACACTGTGATATTTATTTAGTAATTTCATTTAGTAGAGACTTGGGTGGTATGTAGCCAGCAGGACCTCTTTTCCGGCTCCTTTTTTTTTTTTCCATGATGCCTTAGCCTATCTGTGACTCTATGAACCAGCTCTATGAACAAATTTCTCTAACTACTTGACCTTTTGAGTTGTTTTCCAGAAATATGGATTTTCTGTAAGAAAAAGGAGCTGAGATTACAAAGGCCCCTAGGCAGACTTCCTGATGCCAAGATTCCCCATCCCCTACAACCTGCCCCCAATGCACTTTGCCCCTTGTTAGTTACACTACAACCTGCTCTAAGGCATGTGGCCCCTCCTTTAAAAAGCCTATGATCTCATACACAGATTTGAGGCAGCTTTTCCTCTTCTCCCAACAAGACGTCTGTCACGTTAAAAATTTCCTTTCTTCCTTGGCCATCCTCATTGTCTCCATAATTGGATCTTTGTGCAATGAGCAACTATAACTAGGCTAAAACCCTTTTCTGGTTTTCCAATAATATGACTTGTGTCCTATCACCTTTACACACCTACTGCATCCTCTCTCCAACTCACTGCTTTCCCCTCTGGAGGGAAAAGATGGGTAAAAAAGAGAATTGAGAAAATAAAGGAATGTTTAATACAGTGATCAGATCAGTATTTACATTCATTTCTTTAATTTGAAATAAATTCTCTGAATGATCCTTTGGTTGGAGCAAAGTTCCTTTCCTCTTTCCATCCTTTCTATTATTCCAATCCTTTCTTTCAGAATGGTTACATTTATGTTGCCAATCTGGGAGTGGAGGTTGGGTTAGATAGGAGAAAAATGGGAGAAGGAAAGGCAAGACAGACTACATAATTTTCACCTTTACTTCCTCAAGGCGACTTCTTAGCTTCCCAGAGTAGGGGGTACTTTTCCACCTACCACACTATTCTTTGCTTCATAGACTTTCAGGGAACCCTATACTTATTTTTTATAAAACTCGGCACATTTTTATTTTACATTTATTTCTGTGATTATTTGTTTAATGTTTGCTTCCACCATTGGACTGATAGCCCCATGGGGTTCAAAGACCCTATCTGCTTGGTTCACTGCTTACCTCTAGTGCCTGCTAACCAGTATATCTACAATAAATGTTTGTGGAATAAATAAGTAGTCTTAGCCAAATCTACCTTCAAAATTCATTGCTAAAAGAGCTAATAAAAGTGGGTCAAAGCTCACTGATTGCACACAGATCTCCCCCAAGTGAAACCACCCTTTTAAAAACATGACCCATAATCAGCCACCCAGCTGGCCCAAAGAACCCTTGAGAGAGGAATTTTTCATAGGCTTGCAGCAGGATGTAAGTAACAGCAACTGATGTGAGAGATGAAAAGCTTTCCCAGGTGCTTCATTTGAATTTTTTTCAAACAAAACTCACAAGTGAAAGGAAATACTTCCCTGCTTTTTTCCCACAAAGAACAGGACAAGCCAGGATGTTAATTAAATTACAAATCAGTTGTCTGCTTGCAGCTGACAGAGCTTTGTGTGTGCTTCCAAGCAACGTCAGATATTTTAAACCCCTGTAATTACCTACAATGGAGGATCTGCCAGGAAGGATGCTTTCATGAATATTTAATGGATCTTAAGATCCTTTTTAAAGAACTGATCATTTAAATAATTATGAGAGAACTTATGGTAGCTCAGTGCTGCCCTCCATCTGTTAACTGAAGATGCTGGAAATGGAGCCTGATAGAAAATGCACTACATCCTTTAAAACTCTGATGTAGACCCAGGATCTGGGGAAATTGAGGCTCAGACAGGAGAAATAATTATAGAATTCCACAGACCTTATGTTCTCTGAGCAAGCCAGAATAAAACCACAGCCCTACAATCTGGAAAATAATGAATTTGTATAACATGCTGCACATTCAAGATGCTCTTTACAATTTACAAAGCACTTTGAGAAATATTGTCTCAAGTAATTCTCTCAAAAATTGGGCGGATAAAAAGGCATGGTCACTCTGATCTCTAAATAAGAAAACAGAGGGTCAGAGTCTCCAAACTGCAAAATAAATGGTAAAGCTGTGTTTCAAACCAACATAGTCCTCTGATTCCAAGAGGCAGTCCCATATAGTGGAAAGTGAATACATTCTGATATTAAAGACATGATTTCAAATCTTGGTTATGTCACTTGCTATCTGGGAGACATTTATCAAGTTGCTGGATATATCTGAGCTTCAGTTGACTGAAGATATAAATCAGGAATGACAGTATTTACTTTGCAGAAATATAAGGAATGAATGAAACACTGTATTTTGGCACATAGTAGATGCTAGATAAATGCTAATGGTCTCCTTTTTTGGTGTCTCAAGACCTTTGTACTTTGCAGGTTTGTCATTAAAAAAAATGGCCCCTAAGAGTGAACTTTTTAGATAGATAATGCTATCAGCAGAATTAAATAAGAAAGTAGATAGTCATTTTCAGCCTCTCAATATGTCTACCTTTTCTCTACTCCTTAGGCCATTGAACTAGAATAACTTTCTAAGATCTCGGTTTTAGAATCATGGCTAAGAGTCCAGGTTCTAGAGAGACTGCTTGGATCAATTCCTAGTTCTATCACCTACAACATGACCTTGAACAACATATTAAACTCTCTGAGACTTGCTTTTCTCATCTGTAAATTGAAATAGTGCCTAACTGGCAGATTTTTTTGAGAAGCCCAAGTGAGATAAATGCGTGGAAGGCACTTAGCATGTGTTTGTGATTTAATAAGCAGTCACTTAATATCAGTTATGAATTTTTTAGTGGGACATTAGATGTTTTATTTGATTATAAAAAGATTTTGGAAATAGAAAACAAAAAATTAACTGAAGGAAAATTTTTTGCCTTTTTCTGTTTCTAATTTCTTCAAAGTGTACAACTGCAACTTTTCCCAACATAACACATAGACACTGTGTTCTAATCTCATAAACCTCCTGGTCCCCGAAAGTACACTTCAGCCTTCCTTTATGACATCTTTACTGGTTGAAAACCTTCTCCTCCCATTTTTTTCATGCAAGAAGTATTTACTGAGCCTTTACTATGTGCCAGACATTCTACTACATGTAGGGATACAACAGTAAATAAGAAAGACACATTTCATCTTTGCCCTTTGCTCTTGCTGTCTTCTCTACCTCTAATAATCTTCCCAACTGTTTTTCACCTAACTATTGCTCAACCTTCAAAACTCAGTAAATATATGATTTCTTCACAGAAGTTTCCCTGGACACCCAGGTTTAGTTAAGCATCCATTTTTCTGTGCTCACATGACTGATAAGCTGAAAAATCCCTCTTCTTTATAAGTGTTCAATAAATGTTTCTGAATTGAACTATACCCAGTAGAGATGTAAGTTCCTTAGATTCTTGTGTACTCCACCATGCCTACCACAACCTGGAAGTAGTATATACTCAAGAGACCTGTCTGGATTCTTTAGGAGATCTCATTATTGAACAGCACCCTGTAAGAAAAATGAAAAAATGGGTTCACTTTGTAGCACTGTTAATGAAGTGGGGTTATTTTGAAGGCTTGCATTTAGTAGGGAGAATCATTCAAGTTTTGGGTGGTTGTGAGACACCTGGGAAGGGGTGTTGGCTGGTGGCTTCTTGGAGAAAAAGAGTTGAGAAAAGGAAAAATGGTAATATACAGAAGGGAACTAAGTGAGTTGCATCCTCTTCCCTCCTCTGCCAGCATTGAGTTAGAGAAGCTAAGGAAGCACAACATACCAATAAGGCCTTCCCAAGTGTTCTTACCCTATACACTCTAAATACCAGGCAAGTAGCTTGATTCACAGAAGAGTGTACCAACTTGAATAAGCACAATAAAATACATTAAACTGTGTGCAAGGAAAGGAAGAGGTCTGGAAAATACACTAATATGTTGACAGTGGTTATTTCTGTGTGATTAATTTCATTTTTTGAGCGGCATGTAGTACAGGAATAAAAATAATTGACAAAACAGAATATGTAAGACGTAATCAAGTATTTGCTTTGTTTTAATGGAGAAGGTCCAGTGTTCTGTAAGCTTTGTGGTGAGGGGAAATCTTCAGTCCTTGACAGGGTTTAGTCATGTTCAGTTGAGTTTATTTTGAGAACTGGCTGAAGGATGCAAGGGAAGTGACGGCCAGCTGATAAATGAATGAGGGAGGAGCTGAGAATGAATTTACTGGGGAGGATTAGACATAAAGTCAAATTTCTCTTTGGTACCAAGAAATTAAAGCAATGATCTTGGAACAAACTCTATAATAGTTTGTGTATTTGAAGCAAAACTTCAAATACTGTCTGAGTAGTTCTCCAGGGATAAATGTCACTGGATTCAATAGAGGGCAGTAAGATCTTGTGGGCAGACACTATCTGACTCAATGCACCAGCTGTGAACTGCGACAGCATCTGTGCGTAAGAGTCATTCACTACTAAAGGCTAGAAACATGTTCTGCTCAGTGTGCCTGATGCCCCCCAAAGAGAAATTGTTCATTTCATCAAAATGCTTCATCAAGTGACTCAAATTCCCTGCACCTCAATTTCTGAAGTTTAAATTCTATTCCTGCCACTAACCAACAATGCAAATTCAGTATGGACTCTCTCTCAAACTCAAGACTCCTTATTTGTAAAATTGGACTAATAATCGATGATAGTGTTGCTATGGGAAATTGATGAGGTAATATGCATAAGCATTTGGGCACAAGACCTGACTTCTAGTAGGTATAATACTTCGGAAATCTAAGGCTATTTCTATTTCTGTATCAGTGTCATGTAATCATCTTTTCATGTGTTGTAGGAAGAGCCACTCCCCCCCCCACACACACACACAGGCGTGCACATGCTCAACTCAGCCTTACCACTGTTACAGAGAGTTGGCTTCTACCATGCTATCACAAGTACTGTAGCATCCCTACAGAACAGCACAAACCTCCTGAAGGAGGCAGAATGAGCTGCTAAGGCCTTGCCTCCACTGCTCTGAGATTCAGTCTCTCTTCAGTATGTGAGGCCATCTTATCCTCTCTACCCATGTTTCCATCTAGGCCAATGTTCCTGGCATCTTTTTCCTACAATTATAATTTATGTCTAGCAGGCAGAGGAAACAAACAAACAAACAAAAAATGATCTCAGACACAGGTCCTGAATTTGCCTTCACTGCTCACTCAAGCTATTCTTCTGACCCATTTGAGCTTCTGGACTTTAGAACCTGCTGGTAGAAGTGGTACCTGCTGAACCCTTCTCTCCATGTTTGACTTCTGAGAATGAGGTCATTTACCCACCTAATCACATATCTCCTGGACTCTTTGTAGCTGGCTGTGTGTCTTGCCCTGGGTTTTTCTGGGCATTTTGTTGGCATGTACTTCCTCTGTGACACTATAGAGACTCGAAATCCTTCCTAACAGAAAGCATCATCCTTTGTACATTCAGTGCAATATTTATCTGACACATTATATGCTAATCACTAAATTGTAAATGCTAGGAATATAATAGTAAAAACAAAGGGCAAAAATTTATGACCCTTAGATCTTAAATTCCAGTTGCATTAGGTAATAAAAGTTTTTGTCTGAGTTCTCTTTTTCCTCAACATGCTTCCTTTACCCAGAAGCAGGCATGAACAGCTGTCCTTTCCATGGGAAGATAACAGATGGTCCAGTGAGCGACCACTCTGAATTGTCTCTGGTGGTGGTACAAATGCGCTTGATCCATCCATGAGAAAGGCAGTTCTCATCCAACTGCCTTTGTTCCAGAGCACCTTATGACTAGCTGTTGTGAGTGGCATTAGAACATGGAACAGGTGAAGGATCAAAGCAAAAGGTGTAGCCTTAATTCTGGCCTCATGAGCAGTGGGCTCCAATCAAAGAGGGTTTTTTGATAATCAGACATTTTAATAGTTGCTTCATAATTGGAGCTTGGTTGTGGTGGTTTAAATATTCTCATAATAAGATATTATATAATAAAATACCCTTTGGAAAGGAATTTTTATACTTGATCTAGATATTTAATATGCAGTTTAGTGTGTAATTATAGAATGCTATTTTGTGCTTATTACAACCTTAAGATGTCAGCTTCAAATCAAGAGAGCCAAGAAAGTTTTCTAATTTCTTGTTCTGGTACCCTGCCGGGAATTTACAGTGTCATCTTTCAGATTAGTGCCTATGATATGACATTCATATGTATTAATGGTCCTCAAGCATTACTTTATTTAATCCTTACAACAAGGTTATGAAATGGTTATTGTTTTCTTTCCATCGTTTTACAGATGAGAAAACAGAGAGAAATCAAGTAACTTGTTCACACAACTAGTGGATAAACTGAGATTCATACATGGCTATCCTCATAATCACCACCCTTAACTCTCACACTATATTATCTCTCAGGTATTGTACATTTCTTACTCTCTGACCCAGATATTTGTTCTGAGTATGGTTGATACTTTGGTCCTTCGATTTAAAAGTTGAGGTCTACAAGCTTCCCTTTATGTTTGCTGGTACATAGAATATAATTAACAGAAAGTATAAATAGAAATAACCAAGTTAATGGTACTGTCATTTCTTTGATCATCCAAATACAAAGCCATATAGATAAATATGATCCTTCAGCATCTTTTCCCCCTCATGTCTTCCAGAGTTGGGCCCATCTAACTAAGTTGGCAGAACATGACCCTTAATATCAGAGTAAAGGCCAAGGTGATTTATATTAGACTAGGAGTTCCTTACTGAAAGTAGTGATGCTATACCTGTAGCCATTTCAGTACCTCTCTGGCATTTAGGAGGGATTTGGTATATTTTACCAAGTAAATGAATCTAATACAACTGTAATGAATTCTATTTCAGCAGAGATTCTTGTTCTTTTCTTTTTATTCATCTTCATTGCCCATTCTCCCATGAGGCCTTTGTTTCTTCTCCCCAGAATATTCCATTTGCCTCCTACTTCCCTTTGCAACCACATTTCTTGCCTCTCTCTACCCCAACATGCCAGCTTTCCTTTCTCAACCTATCTGTCCTTTCCCAGCCCCTCTCCCTAAACCTAGACTTTAATCATTCTGAATTATTTATAATTTAGAGTAAGAGTAATAGATCACCTTCAGGACTTTGGACTTGCTACTTCTCAGATGTCTGTTCATCTTCAGGGTTCAGTTAAGATTATGTCCATCCCAGGAACCTCCTTGATTTAGCAACTTTCCCCATCAGCCCTCTCTATGCCTTACCCCCAGACAGGAGTCAGGACTCATAGCAACCAGGGCAACCACAGAACATTTTTATCCTATCATTTTTTGTTTTTTTGAGACAGAGTCTCACTTTCTTGCCCAGGCTAGAGTGAGTGCCATGGCATCAGCCTAGCTCATAGTAACCTCACTCTCGTGGGCTCAGCGATCCTACTGCCTCAGCCTCCCAAGTAGCTGGGACTACAGGCATGCACCACCATGCCCGGCTAATTTTTTGTATATATATATTTTAGTTGGTCAATTAATTTCTCTCTATTTTTGGTAGACACGAGGGGTCTCGCTTAGGCTGGTTTTGCTCCTGACCTCGAGCAATCTGCCTGCCTTGACCTCCCAGAGTGCTAGGATTACAGGCATAAGCCACCATGCCCGGCCTTATCCTATCATTTTTGTCTATTTATTTGATTGTTTACTTTTATAGACAGTAATATCTTTGAATATAAGGATTGAGTCTTGTTTATTGCTGTAGAACCTGTGCCAGGTATTCAGTGGGTGTTAAACAAATATTTGTTAAATGAATATTGGTTATAGAGTAACTGGTTTCCTTACCTGCATTCTCTGTCAACCAATTCATTCAACAAATCACCCCCAGATATATCTTCTTTGAACACAAGTTTGGCCATATCACTTATCCCTTTAAAACCTGCCAGTTGTTTCCTACCATTCCAAAATAAAACATAACCATTTTGGTGTGGTATTCATGCCATTCTCAAGCTCTTGCTAAAGTACTATCTATTACTACACTTTTTTGCTCATATACATTCCATTCAAACTAGCTAAGTGGCTCATTTGTAAAGCCACTCAATCTTCCTGATCTTTCCCATCTTCCTGTTCCATGCTCTTCCTCTTGCCTTGAATGATGCTTTCCAAATTCAGGTGGGGACTATCTTGCTGTATATTGAGGTTCTATTAATATACATGTCACCTTTTCCACAGTCTTTCCTGATCTTCCCCACACACTGCCCCCCCCCAATGTGGTTTACCTTTTTCTTTATACTGCTCTTACAACAAGATTTTCCATCCTTGAGTTTGCAATTTTTTCATTCATCCCTTCTTTCACCAAGCACTTTTAGTGAGTCACTGTAACAGAAGATGAAGGACCCAGAAGGGGTGCTAAACCTGACAGAGTGGAGGAACCCAGGCCTTGTTCAGTTGATCCAGAAATTAAGTATTTCCCTCTCAACCCAATTATCTGCTAAGGAGACCAGCTGTGGTGTAGTAAAAACAGGCCCAGACCTTCAGCCAGAGAACTAGGGTTCGAATCCCAACTCTGTATGGCATTGTATAAGTCAATACCTCTGTAGGTCTAGTTTCTTCATTTGTGAAATGGGGCTAACCATATCTTTCTTTTGCAGTTATTGTGAAAGTGCTTTGTAAAATGAAATGTTTTGTAAAATGCAAATTATTTAACAACTAATGGAAATAGCTCAGAAATGCTAAATAAAATCTATAACAACAAAAAAAAAAGACACTGATAATATGCAGAGAGACAGTACAGAGTTCAAGCTCTCACTGAGCACCCTTTTCAGTAGGTCAGACTGACAAATATTATCAATGTAAGATGTCACTATGAAGACACATCCTGATTTTGGAGATACTAAATACTAATATAAAAAGTGAATTTAGAGTTGACAAAATACTATACTAAAATGTAGTATTTATATGTTTCCATGAAGGTTAACTTAACCTAGTTTTTGTGGTAGAAAGGGGCGGTTTCTTGGAGGACAAAATACCTCAGATTACTCTTAAGAAATAAAAAGATATTAAGGAAAGTGGAAGCAAATGTATTGGCAAAGGAACTGCTGGTAAAAATTACAGGGTAGTGATGATAGAGTACAACTTCCTTTCTTAAGATGCTTGAAGGCAGGTTCTTACATTTGTTTCCCTCCAGAGGGTTTTGTACAGAGTTGTGTTAGATTAAAATTAAAATTTATTGTACACCATTCACGTGTTATAATGTAAATAAGCTTGACAACTTTGCCTTAAAATTTGCTATATGGAACTAAGGTTTCAGGTACCTTAAAGAATGAGTTGCTTGGGAGAAATATTCAATCCAAACTCTGAAATATAACTGAGATAAATTATCACTCACGGGAAAAGGACTTGAATGATCAGACTGTTATATAGCTTGGACTTTCATTACTAGCAGACCTGGCAAGGCTAATAAAGATCATTGAGTGCACATTCCCTATTCCTCACAGAAAATTCAACTCTAAAATCCATGAGCAGCTACTGGCCTCTGCTAGTGCATATCTCGGTCCATTTAGTCATAGCTGCATTTCTAGTTATGTATGTTTCATTTTCTTCTTTGTCATTGTATCTAATGAGTAAAAGTTTTACCTGGATATGCAAAATTAACAATCACAATAAAGCTTCCCACATATGACATTTTTTAAGCCTAAAAATAGTTACTCCCTCCCTAATTTGGATATGATTTTCTCATCCCTGAGGGCAGAATAACTTCTAGGTTTATTAAGTACACTAGCTGCTGGGATTCAATAGTGAACAAGAAAGACAGACACTATTCTTTCTTTTATGGAACTTCCCTTCTATTTGAGGTGACAGACACATGCAATTAACAAATAAATGAAATAATCACACATTGTCAAGAAAATGAGAAAATGCTTCAAGAGAAGACAAAGAAGGAACCATGGTCACCAGAAAATGTCAGGGAAACTTTCTGAAACAACAAAGTATAAACTAAATACAGAAGAATGAGACAATTTTCCATGTGAAGAGTTGAGTGAACTGCCTTCCAAATGAAAGTAAGAATAACCATGAAAGTGTCGAGTTGGGAAAGAGTTTGGTGGGTTCCAGGAATCAATAACGTCAATAATTTTTGACGTGGGGTAAATGAAGTGAATATGAGGTGGGAGAGGTAACTGAGGATCAGATTACACAGGGCCTTGTAGACATTGGGAGACATTTAGGTCCCCATCCTGAGAAAAATGGGAAGCCAACAATTGATTTCAATAGGAAAGTGATGTAATGTGATTTACATACTCAAAAGCTCACTCTTGCACTGTTAATGAGATTGTAAAATGGTGTAACTGCTATGAAAAACAGTATAGAGGCTCCTGAAGAAATTAAAAATATAACTACCATATGATCCAGCAACCCCACTTCTGAGTATATATATCAAAGAATTGAAAGCAGGGACTTGAAGAGATATTTGCACACCCATGTTCATAGCAGCACTATTCACAATAGCCAAGAGATGGAAGCAACCCAAATATCTGATGATGAATTAATTAATTAAAAAAAATATGATGCACACATACACACACTCCACACACACACACACATACACACAATGGAATAGTATTTAGCCTTAAAAAGGAAGGAAATTCTGACACAGGCTACAACATGGATGAATCTTGAGGACATTATGCTAAGTGAAATAAGCCAGTAACAAAAAGACAAAAACAGTATGATTCCATTTGTAACAGGTACCTAAAGTTGTGAAATTTATAGAAACAGAAGGTAAAATGGTGGATACCAGGGGCTGGAGAAAGGGAGAAAAGAGGAGCTGTTTGTTTAATGGGTATAGAGCTTCCTATTTACAAGATGAGGAAGTTCTGCAGATCTGTTGTACAACAAAGTGAATATAATTAATACTACTGAACTGTACACTTAAGAGTGAGTGGTTGACAGGGTAACATTTTATGTTACGTGGTTTTTACTACAACTAATAAAAAGCTCACTCTGGCTTCCAATAGCAATGGATTAAAACGGAGAGGTGAGAAGTGGGAGAGATAAGTTGGGAGGCTCTTACAGGCCCCACGCTGGTGCCTGGAACAAGCAGGGAGCAGAGTCTGCAGCCCAGTGAGCGTGGGCCCCGCACACCTGCACTACCTACGATGAGGAAGCATCCAAGGCACACAAACTCCAAGTGCTTTCTTGCCCACTCACAAAAGCATTCCAAATGTCTATTTATTTTATTCCTTCAACCCTTCAACATCCTTTCTCAGAAAAGATAAGCAGTAACAAAAAAAAAAAAAAAACATTCTAATAGTTGGTGATTAAATCAGCTTCCACCTGGGCCCAGCTTTTGCCTGGGAAGAGGGGGGAGGAAGTAGGCAGGTAGCAGATGGACTTTAATCAACTGTACCCAACCTTGGGATCAAGGCCCTGCAAACAGTTGGTTCTGATACTCTGTGTTAGTCTCTCATCAAAAATATTCCCCTAGTTGTTTTTAATAAACCTGAGCATCTGGCCTAATACCAAATTAGAAATCTTTCTTCCTGACTCTGATTATAAAAAAAATATATTTTTGTTATTATTTCAGCATATTATGGGGGGTACAAATGTTAAGGTCACGTATATTGCCCATGCCTTCCCCCCCCCCCGAGTCAGAGCTTCAAGCGTGACCATCCCCCAAACGTTGCACATCTCACTCATTATGTTTGTATATACCCATCCCCTCCTCCCCCGTCCCACCTGCCCGACACCCAATAAATGTTATTCCTATATGTTCACTTAGTTGTATTAACGAATCTTCCTGACTCTATTTTTGGTCATAGCTGCAGCCCTAAATTATTAAAGAAATTATTTTGTATTGTGGTGAAATTATACTTAAAGTTCATTATGAAATAATTCATGCATACAAAATAATTTATATCAGCTATACAAGCTATTAATATGAAGACAAATACAACAAACTCCCTCATGACTGCCATCTATCTTAAGACATTGATTATAACCAACAGAATGGAGGCCCCAGATCGATGTCCCTAGTCATTTCTGACTCTCCCCAGAAATAACTGTGGAATTTAGTGTATATATTAATAAACCCCTATTTTACTCAATGGTCTTACTATATAGATATGTATCTGTGAAAGTTTTATGTGTCAACTTTGATAAATTATAGTACCCTATTATTCAATCTAGGTATTGCTGTGAAGGAATTTTTCAGTTGTGGTTATAATCCGTTGATTTTAAGTAAAGGAGATTACCATCAATAATCTGGGTGGGCCTCATCCAATCAGTTGAAAGGTTTTATGAGCAGATCTGAGGTTTCCATGGGGAAGAATAAATTCCACCTATGGATTGCGCTTCAGCTCCTGCCCA